TTAAATGAATATGGAGGAAGATTTTCTGAAATTTGTACACCATATTTAGAACAAGGGTTTAGAATTATAGGATTGGATTTACCAGGTTTTGGAAGATCTAGTGGATTACATGCACATATCAATGATTGTAATGATCTCATTGAAGCAGTTCATGAAGTCATTAATCACGTAAAAAATTTAAATGATAAAAAACGTAAAGTAATTTTATATGGTGGTTCTATGGGTGGAATGATTGTTCTTTCATACGCAATTAAATATCCTGATAATTTTGATGCATTTTCTGTTTATTGTCCTTTCATTTATTTGTCTTCCGCAAGTCGTCCTTCTAAATTTATTGAAATTTTAGCAAGAATATTAATTAAAACACCTTTGGGACGTATTCCTATTGCTGTAGCACATAGTGGAAAATCTAGTAAAGATCCAAATCATACAAAGGTAATTATTTAATAATAATTTATAATAATAATAATAATAATAATAATAATAATAATTTAACTTTTAATAATAATAACAATATTTTATTTTTAATATTTAAATAATATTTGATATTTAGCTTTTTAAATCAGATCCTTTAAATTATAGAGGAAATCTACGTTGTTCTACTGGATTAGCTATTAAAGTTCATGCGGAATGGTTACGATTAAATCTTGAAAATATTTCTAAACCATTTTTAGTTCAACATGGTTTATGTGATCGAGTTACTAGATTTGAAGGATCTAAAGAATTATTTGATAAAGCTCAAACTCTCGAAAATCAAAAACAAATTTTATTATATGAAGATTGTGAACAGGATATGTTTAGGGATAAAGGTTCGAAAGAAAAGGTTGTCGAAGATGTTATTAATTGGTTGATTTCAATGGATATGAAACTATAACGATTTGTTTCTATATTAGTATTTGTTAGCATTTATTGTTATTATTATTTTCTAAATATATTATTATTATAGATTTAATGTAATAAAATAATCAAAATTTATGATGAAAGATGTACTTTCAAATTGTACGATAATAATTAAAAAAAAAAAAAACTTGAATTAAGAACAATGATGCTTTCCAAATTTATTTGATTTTTTTTGTTTTAGCGTGATCTATAGAAAAATAAAATAAAATGTCATGTATACATATACACACATATATATATGTTCTGTACAAAAAGAAATATCAACAAATAATAAAATTATGAATAATGTATGAAATATTACAACTATACTACTTTTCTAAATTTAAAGAAAAAATGAATAAAATACAAATAGTACAATGTAGAAAAAAAAAAAAAAAAAACAATGTTCTTTTACACCAGACAATAATCTACTGAATAATGTTTTTAAATAATTGAAAATTTTGAAAAGTCCTAAATTTATAATTTAGTTAATTGAAACTTAAATAATAAACCATTAAAATAAAAAAAAACAAATTATTAAATAAAAGAAAAAAATAAAATCAAACTTTTTTTTAATAAAATCCAAACATTATCTGAATTAAGAAATTCCCTCAAAAATTTTAAAAATTTAGGATTTTCACACTATATAAATCCATCCTTACTTCTATCAGCTGTGTTAAGAATTAATGCGTGAGCATTCTCGATAATAAATTCGATCGCAGAATTTTTAAAGGTCATATCAAGAATTTCCATGTTAGCATTTGGTCCTCGAAGTAATGTAGGCCCAAAAACCACTGAAAGATTTTTAGGGCTCATAAGATTTACTGATTCTAGTTTTGTAACCCTAGATTTATTTTAAATTATAAATCACATACATTAGTCATTTGTATTAGTCATATGTATTAATCATATGTATTAATCATATGTATAAATAATACATGTTTTTTAATCTTATGGAAAATATTTTTTACCTGTCTAAATGTGACAATAGATACTTCGTTGTGTTAAAGTGAACTCTTGGTAAATAATGCAAAAGTTGTCGAAACCTTTCAATTTTTTCATCAAAATTTTCTATGCCTTTTTTTTTAATTTTAAATTAATTTAATTAAGGTAAGGAGATCATATTATTTTTATAAAATTATTAAAATAAAATATTATAAAAATTTAACATACTAACTGCTCCTAGAAAATTAGGGTATAAATCATAAGTCAGCAAAGGATCCGGTAATTCACGCAAGTATTGTTTGAGTACACTGGTGACTGCACATATATCATTGAATTGATCCGGACTGTCAAGATCGAAATCTTCACCGTTCTCAAAAGCTGCTATTATTCCCCGCATCTGTGAGGCACCACCAGATTTTCGATATATACCATCAAGATCCATTCCTATTTAATAATCGAATTTAAATTTAATAATCTACCTTATTAAAATATAATAAATATAATAAATAGAATTTGTTTTTCGATATTCACCTCGAGCTTCGACTGCCAAAATACACTTTTGTACCAAGAAAGGAATATCATCACCCTCTGATTCAGACTGTTTAGTCAGATCATTACCAAACATTGAAGTAAAATTTGAATTAATTATGCTATCTGAATCTTCGCCATTGTTACATGGATTGGTATAAAAAAGAGAGCATTTCGTATGAATTAAAATTCCACATCCTAGAAATCATGATCATTATGCATGTAAAGTGAAAAAAATAATCTTTAGGAAATATTTCTATTTGAATTATATATAAATTAAATCTTATTTTTAATTTTATACCTGCACATTTAACTTCAGAAGGACTTCGCATTTTTTCGTGACAACAATCGCAATTAATTGGACGTGAAAATGAAGTTGGTTGCCAATTATGTGATCGTGAAGAATTTTTCTTATTGATTTCTGAGGAGAATGCCCCCAAATAAGGAATCTTTCCATCTGATACAACATTAGTGCCTGCTGACAATATTTTATTTAAAACTTTACCCCCCTTTTTCCATTTGAACTTCTTTGGTGTTGCACCTCGACTAACACTATTTCGATGTGCAACGTTTGGCAAAGATAATATTGTTGTACCGTCTGCACAATCAGGATCTAAATTACCAGTTGATGACTGTTTAGAATGCCCTTTTTGCTGAATAACAGTTATTTCTGGGGATGCATTGTTATATTGTTTTTTGAAAAAGTGAAATCCATTTGTAACTTTGCCTTTACTATTTATTTCAATTTGTCGCATTAATTCATTGTTCATTGCAAGAAGTTCTAAATTCTTTGAATTCAATTGTGCATTATCTTCTGTAAACTGTTCTTTAGTACGACGAAGTTGTTCCGTTTCTTGTTCTAAGGTTTCTAATTCTTCTTTAAGTGACCTGATTTCCAAAAAATAATTCTGTTTAACTTCGTCAAACTGCGATGATAGATGTTTAGCAAAAGAGCTAGAAATATCTCTTGTTGAATTTGTCGCAAAGGTACTATTAATTAATTAAAAAAAAATAATATATAAATTAATATTACTAATTATTAATGAAAAAAATCCAAAAGTATAATTAAAAAAAAAAAATATAGATATACCCTGCAAGACCAGCTTGTTTTTCTCTTGCTAACAATTCGATTTCGCTAATCATCATTTCTTTCTGTAAACTCATTTCTTTTAAATTATTTTGTAATTCTTGTAATTGCTGTTTTGCTGATTGAGAATCTTTTAACATTTGTTCAATGCGTTCTTTATCTTGATTTTGAAGCTCAATTTGAGCCCTTAGTTCTTCAACAGTGGCTTCGGCCTTTTGACGTAATGAGACTTCATTATCAAATTCTTCTTTAGATACGCTAAACTCAACAAATGTCTTCTGACTGGATCTCTATAAAAATAAAAAGATTTAAATCAAATATTCATAATTTATTAAAAGTCTTGGAAAAAATTTAGATTAAAAAAAAAAAATACCTTTGTCTTTTTATAATTTATCTCTGCCTCCTTTTTGGTATTTTCTAACTGTTCTGATGAAGAATCATCTGGTTCGATTATGATTATATCATTTTCCGGACTAGACAAAGATGCTAAAGAGGATTCACTGTTCTTTCTTTCGGGTGATAAAGAAGAGTTATCCACAAAAAAATCTGGCGTTGAATATCCATTTGACAATTTACCAATAAATGATTTGCGCTTAATTTTTCGAATATCTTTATTCGATTTCCCACTGGGCACCAAATGAGTCAAGTCAGGATCTTCTTCCCCATTGAAAAAAGATAATGGAGGCAATACCGGTGGTCCTACTTCCAATCCATTATGATAACTATCTTTACGAGGAGTTGGTTCAATACTAGGAACTAAAGAAGGAAATTTGGGACTAGTTGGAGAATTTGAATAGGAAGTTGTAGGCGAATTTGATCGGGGTGTCTGGGAATTAGATACATATTCGGTGGGGTTTGATGGGTTCGTAACGTATTCTTCAATATGAGGTAAAGATTGATTTTGTAATTTCAATTTTCGAGGTGGGGAAGAAGGTTTCTGATTTGAATTTAAATTGTCCCTTTCTTGAGAATTTGGAGGTGTGGGTGACTGTCTTGACGATAGATCACTCATGTCACTACGTTGACTTGAAAGTGAAAAAGTTCGTCCGGAACCATCATAAGGTTCACTTCGTGAACTTGTGATTGAAGCATTTCTAGAATGATTTTCAATAATGTCACCACGATTTTTAGCCAACGCTTTAGATAAATTATCCATTGAATCATTTTTTTTAGAAAAAAAACCAGCTCTCTTTGAAAGTTCTGATGATTCGCCATGTATTTTTACTTTATCATTAATATATTCGGATTTATTATGCCCGTTAGATTTAGTAAGTTGTTCAAGTGCTTTTGATGCAGGAGATGATACTTTTTGTTTAAACACTTCACTAATTGAGGATGATGCATCAAATAGTCTAGAATGACGACGATTAATAGTAGTATCAGCAGAAAAGGGAAGAGTATGAGCTCTTTGTATATTATCCAGATTATCCAATGAAGTTTTTGTCAATGTAGAAGCTGAAACATTACGTTCGAAAGATCTTTTTGGATAAATGCTGTGATTAGGAGGTTCAAGTCTACGATTCTATTAATAAAGATCAAATGATATGTCAGCATTATAATTGTGACGAAAATAAATTTATATTACACTTACTTTTTGATCAGCTTCGACAGGTAAGGAAGGCAAGGATTTTTCTATTACCATCGGATAAAGAGAGTTGTTTTCTTTTGCACGCTTCGCTTTATTAACTCTCTCGTGATGACAAGTCATGCAATAAATTCCCTTTTTTTTTTCCAATTAATAATTATCACGTGGTTAATTTTTTTTAATTCGCCGACTCTTAAATATGATTTCCACCAATTATCTTTTTAATCATTTTAAAGAATTCAAAATAATTTTCATATTATAATAATAAATACCTGATTTGTTTTAGCAAACACTAAATTTTCAATCTTTGATTTGCATTGTCGACAGCGAAAGCAATTTACATGAAAAGAATCATCACCTAATAGAAGTAAATAGAAACAATTAAATAATAATAATAATAATAATAATAATAATAATAATAATATTGATAACAAGTTGATTAAAAAAGAAATGATATTAATAACAATAACAATAATAATAATTAAGGATAAATATCATGCTTATTTTTATAAAATTCTAACCTGTCATAATGGCTTCGTCGATTATAGGTTTTTTACATACATGACAATCGTATGAACAATTCTCACATATTGGATTACCATCAGATAATAATAATAAATTAGAATCATGTTCAACCAATTCACGACATTTAGCACATCGAAAACTATGAAATAACATTTTTGGGGGGGAACGTGGAAAAAACGTGAATAAACGGATAAATAAGTTTTTATTTAATAATTATATATATATATATACATAAAATGCTTTCAATACTTTAGAAATAGATCAAATTACATACCAATGAACGTGCCATATGCCGTCCCCGAAAGAAACGACATTTCCTTCCTCAATTTGTGTTTTACAACCCATACAGTATGGGTCAGTACTTTCATCACCCACTCCTCCTATGTCAATATTTTCATCCCCCATATATCCTGGTTCAGTATTTTCGTCACCCATAAAACTTAGGTCAGTAGTTTCATCGGTATCATCAATATCAACCATTGTAATGGATGTTTGAAAGAGTGGGATGCTCTTAACACAAAAAGTGAAAAGATAAGTATATAAAAAAAGAAAGTCGAAAAGATTGTAAAAAAAAAAAAAAGCGATTTTAATATGAAAAGATAAAAATAAAAATTTGTAGATTTAGAATAACGTGATATGAATAAAAGTTGTTTTCAAAGAGTGAAAAAACTAAAAAGAGGAAACCATGTGCAATAAGAAGAGACCTTGCGCTCTGTGCACACGTCAGTGGTCAGAAGGATAGTTTAATTTAATATTTACTTGTGATAATCATTAAATAAAAGGTTTATTTTAATTCAATGTATCAACTTTCAAACAATCACACAAAAGTAAGGTACAAGAAGTAAGATTAAAAATATAATATAAATAAAGTATATAATCAAAAAAATTATTAACCAATTTTAGAAAAACAATTCCTCTATCTGATCTTTTATGTATAAAATGTCATTTCATCATCCAATGAACATTCAAACAAAGACAATGTATCAGGTCATGTTTTTCCTTTAAAGAAAAAAATTTTTTTTTTTTTGCCCTCCGAAATGTACTTATTTGGTCGAACATGTGATATTTAAAAAATTTATTGGTGCTAATGCTAATAAATTAAAACAATTGATAAAAAAAAAAATCCCGAAAACTTGTCTCCCATGTGGACATCTTTGACTGGAAATCTAATAGTTCACTAATTCAAAAGAATTACACACATTTAATTAGCGGGAGGAAAAAATCTTTGAATTATGCATAGTATTTTATTGTCACCTGATAATTGTTACTTTTATTCGTGCCCAAAAATAATATTGTGATGTAAATTACTAATTTTGTGCTTCAACTTTTTCTGGTAATCGAATATTTTACTCTATAAAAAGAGATTCTATTATTAGCATTCAATCGAGCATGCTTACTGTAACGATTACCAAGACACGATTTTTTACTTACCACTGCAAATATTATATGTCAAATCAGTTTACTGCATAAATCTTTTTAAAAATAAACCATACCTTATATATACTTTCATCTAAATTTAAGTAAACAATTCAACAATTCAGTACATTTTACTTGATAATGATCAAAAAGTACATTACATATAAATACCGTAGTCATGTGATAGTACGACGCAGATTATCATTGCGTAAGTAGTTACACGAGAAATTTTTTAGAATTGTCCTGCCAGCGAACGATTGAATCGATATATAATATATTATATAATATATTATATAATATATAATAATCATGCCTTTATCATCAATAATTCCAAGATATAAACGTCTCAACATTTTCAAATTTTTAAAATTCTTTTTTATATTACTCGTTTTGATTATTTTATTATTTCTTGCAGTTTGTGATTTACAACTAAACATGCGGATTTATTGGAGACAATGGATTGTAAACAAAGAACTTAAAATTGAAAGTCTTTATGGATGTTTTGATTTAAACTCAACAGAAACAGAGAATTATACTAAACCCAATATAAAATATAATAACATTATTCCTTCAATACCTTTAACTCATGGTTGGGATTGTTTTGATTTTGCCAAGAAAATAAAGTTAAAACCAGGTCAACCGATAGAACAAACTATATTTCATACATATTGGAGATCAGATCTACGACCTTTGGGTGATAAACAAATAGCAACATTAAAATCATTTTTCGCCACTCAAAATAGTAATTATTCTTCATTAATTCTTTGGTCAAATGAAGATCTTTCTCAAGAAACAATTTTAAAACCTTTAATTGAACGATATCCGAAAAGATTTAAAACTTTAAAATGTAATATAAAAGATTTAAGTAAAGGAACTCCCATAGAAAATTCAAAAAATCTTTTAAATATAGAAGATAAACATGCATATTTGGATGGAGATTTAATTCGATTACTGGTATTATATGAACATGGTGGAATATGGTTTGATATGGATTCACTTCTTATTCGAGATTTTTCACCATTAACTGAATATGAATGGGTAGGACAATGGGATTGTTTTTTACCTGAAGGATTTCCTTTCAATGGAGCAGTTATGAGATTTCGTAAAAAATCACCATACGTATGTGAATTTTTATCCGAAATGAGTAATGGACCTACACCAAGAAAAGATTCTACGGATTGGGGATCAACACTTTATTTTAAAATATTTAAAAGATTAATTCAAAATGGGGTAGAAACATTTAAAATAATTCCTTGGTGTTATACTGATCCATCTTTATGTAATCCGGATAATTCAATGCCAAACGCATTTAAAGAAACTGAATTTGATGAAGAAAGATTATTACAAGTTTTTTCATATCATTGGCATAATCAATGGGATAAAAAGAAGGGAAGTTTATTTAGATTTTTAGAAAACAGAAATAATGATTTATTAGGATTTTAAATATAGAAAATTGTAATTATATTATATTTTTATAAAATTTTAATAATTTATTTTTAATTGATTTTTAATTTTATTTTAATTTATTTTATTTTTAATTTATTTTATTTTAATTTATTTTATTTTTAATTTAATTTATTTTTAATTTATTTTATTTTTTTAATTTATTTTTAACTCATTTCTTGAACAAAAATTCACCACAAAAAAACCAAAAAGAAAAAAAAAGAAATCATTATAAGGAAGACAGAAAATCTTCCAAACTAAGAGATTCAGTAATTTCTTTTTGTTCTTTGTTTGTTTTTTCCTTTGTTAAAATTTGTTGAAGTTGTAATTTCTTTCGTTTCTTTTTAGATTTGCCATTATTACCATCATTATTATTATTATTATTATTATTACCACCATTATTATTACTATTATTATTATTCGGAGGAGGTAGAGGAGAATTCTCGGGCATTTTTGTTAAAAATGAAGAAGAAATATTATTATTAACTAATCTCTTGTCATCAATTTTTTCAGCCGATTGATCAATATTCTTTTTAATCAAACATCCAGGAAATCTAGTTTCTATATTGCAAGAATTACAAATGTAAGATGTATGATTTTTATAATGTCGTCGGCGTCGATGATGATGATGATTATTATTATTATTATTATTATTATTATTAATGAATTTATTATCTCCCGTTTGAATATAAATTATTTGTCGTTTTTGTTGTTGTTGTTGTTGCGATTTATTATTATTATTATCCGAAAGATTTGATAATTTACAACCTAAATATTAATAATAAAAATTAAATTATTTCAAATTATTCATTATTATTATGTTCACATTATGATATTATGTTTATGATATTTTCGAACCTTTTTCTTCTCCTCCTTCATTATTTATATTATTAATATCCTTTTCAATATCTATCTTCTTTCGGATATATTGATATTTATTATTTTCTCCAGAATTTCCTAATTTTTTTCTTTTTCTCTTTTCTTTTCGCTTTTTATCGTCATTATTATTATTATTATTATTATTATTATTTACGTTAATAACTCTGATTTGAGAGTTAATTCCTGGAATAAAAATATTTCCACAATAACTACAATATGTTCGTTTGATACCATCCGCGAGAATCAAGTTTTTTTCTGCAGCATTTTGATGAAATTGTTGCATGTAATATGCAGAAAGATTGGGAACCGTTGGTAATAAAATGTGTGATGCATTCCAAAGGAATTGAAGTCGATTATTAGTATTATTATTTGAGGTAGTATTTGATTTGGTATGTGAAGTGGTAGTCATTTTAAGATTGAGTTTTACAAAAATTACGCGACACGAATTATTATTGATTTTGGGGTTACAAGTTTTTTTTTTTTAATTTTGAGGGGGTAGTTTGTTCCCACATGACTGATAACAAAAAATAGATGTAATTTTTTAATGAACTTTATAAATATAATAAATATAATAATAAATAGATATAATAAGTATAATAAATATAATAATAAATAGATATAATAAGTATAATAAATATAATAATGAATAGATATAATAAGTATAATAAATATAATAAATATAAAAATCTATATAGTCTAAAAATTATTGTTACAATCTATTATTACTATTTATATCATTTAAATCATTAAAAATTATCAAATAACTTAAATAACTTGATTTGCTTTCAAATCATTAATTTGTTGATCAGTGTAATTAAGTAAATTACTCAATATCTCAAATGTATGTTGTCCAAAAGTTGGTGGAGGTAATCTTATTTTTAACTTTTCTTTACTATATTTGACTGGTATTCCTATATATATATATATATTAAATATATTTGAATATATTAAAAAAAAATAAATTAAATTAAAAAAAAATATATATATATTAATTGAACATAGAAATATATAGATTAAAAAGTATTTATACCTGTCAATTTAATTTTTCCAGCTTTAGGATGTTCTATTTCTTGAATCATTCCTCTCGCAATAACTTGAGGATGTTCAAAAGTTTTTTGAATATTATTTATTGGAGCAAAAGGAATTCCCTTATCAAAAAACTTTTCTAACCAATGATCAGTATCTTCCTCTTGAAATTTTGATTTCAATAGTGAAATTAATTCTTTACGATGTTGCACTCGACTGGCGTTAGTTTTAAATCTTGAATCTTGTAATAAATTTTCTTGATTTATGGTTTGACATAAAATTTTAAATTGACGATCATTCCCGGCTCCTATCATTATAAAACTATCTTTGGTGGGAAATACTTGATAAGGAACTATTGAAGGATGAGAAGTTCCCATACGTACAGCTTCTCCATTAGAAATAAGGTAATTACTTGCGATATTAGCTAATGAAGCAATTTGAGATTCTATCAATGAACAATCTATCCATTGACCAAAATTTGTTTTTGTTCTTGATAATAAAGCTGCCATAATAGCCCCATGAGCGTAGAGACCTTTTTTTATAACAATATAAAAAAAATATATTAATAATATTAAAATATAATTAAAAATAATATTAAAATAATATCAATAAAAAATTCACGAATGATGATTATTACCTGTTGTTAAATCTAAAGGAATAAATAAAACACGCGTTATAATTTATAATTTTAGTGAAATAATAATAATAATAATAATAACAATAATAATAATAAGAATAATAATAATAGTAATAATATATATATATATACCTGTTATAGCCACACCTACTTTAACCGGATTTCCATCTTCTTCACCAGTAATATACATTAAACCAGCTTCCGCCTGAACATATTTTAAATCTTGTAACATTTGTTATTTTCCTGAATTTTTTATATTCCAAATAAAAATAAATAAAAATAATTCTTTTGTCAACTTACTTCTATCATCACATCATATCCCGCACGATTTGAATAAGGTCCTGTTTGACCATATCCTAAAGATAAATAAATAAATTTCGTAATAATAAAGAAGATTACTTTCTCATAATAATAATAATAATAAAATAATAATAATAATAATAATAATATAATAATAATAATAATAATAATAATAATAATAATAATAATAATAATAATAAT